TGACTTTGTGGATCACTCTATACTCAGTTATATGCCCCAGAACAGAATAGTTCACAAGTCCCTTGTATTTCAATAGGATTTGCCAGATTTTTTTGAAATACTTCAATCACCCTGTATATATACAGAAAACTTCCTTTTCATTTCAGGGGGAAGGCAGTATTTCCATTGGAAAAGAGCCTCCTGCTGGTTATTCTTTATGTACTTTCAAGTCAGTTTTCACTTACAGTGACCTTATGAATGAGAAGACCTCAGTAAGTCCCAGTCATATACAGCCTTGCTCATGTCTTGCAAACTCAGGGACTGTATGCATGGGCTAAGAGGCCTGTATTTCCCCTGGCCTGGTGTCATCCTGTCCAGATGCTGATCCTGGAAATCCGCTTGGAAGACTGGACGACTCCACATGCCCCTTATTTGCAGCCGCCATCGTGTCCGCTCCAAAGGCCCCCACTGCAGCCTGTGGTGTTGGAAGGGGGCACCTGGCCACATGAGTGTAGCCAGGCACCCCCATTTCCACCCTTATGGGCCACTGCAAGGCCTTTGAAGTGGATGTGGTAGTGGTGGCAGGTAAGGTGTGTGGTAGTGGTGGCGAATCCATGGCACAGTGGCAGTCACCGTGCCGGCCTGGGGACTGAAACCACGGGCAGGATACCACAGGGTTGGCCCATGGTATGATGTAAATTCTGTAAAATAATTTCAACAAGATGAAAACAGCACAAGTTTCATACTCTCAAATGTTTGCTCAATTAAATGGTCAGGGTAAGACCAGAGCAGATCTTTATTAGCAGTCCCTTACTGTCCTGCATGTTGATCCCTCCGTAATTCAGGTAAATTATGGGCTCCCACATTCCTGTCATATAGTAGAGCCAGGATTTGCTGGGCTGAAGACTTGGGACTAATTGTGTAGCAAGAGCTATGGTCTGGTCTGTCACCCACCTTATTTATTTAATTTGTAGGCTGTTTTCCTCCCAGTATGGGACCCAAGACAACCTACCATAGATACTCCCCCACTCCCATTCTGAGTTTTGGTGCAATCCCCACAGGAACTGGAAGGGAAAAAGGATTTTCATGGCAATGATGTATACATTGTATTATCCCTGTTGTCATCTGAAGTATATCAGATTGTTTTATGAAGACTTGTTCAAGAAGCAAAATTGTTTTAAGTAGGGTTGGCCAGATCAGGAGCCTTATCCTGGGCCCTGAGATTCCAAGACCAAAATATGAAACCGAGGGGCAAGCAGTTGTGATAAAGATATTACAAGGATATTATTACAATGTGCAGACCCAAAGCTCATTCACCCAACTCCCCTGGTTCTGTCCTATAATTTCCTGGGATTGGTAGGGCTGCTGTTGTGTGCCATCCATTTCTGCCTTGTGGTGACCCTAAGATTACACAGTTGGTTTCCATGGCCAAGTGGGGATTCAAACCCTGGTCTTCCAGTGTCCTAGTCCAACACTCAAACTGCTATATCATGCTAGCTCTTGGCAGTGTAGGAAGAAGGTATTTATCATTCTCAGCCAGACTACTTGTGCCTCTTCAAATTACAAATCTCAGGATTTCATAAGGCAGAACCACAGCAGATTGGAATAATGGTGCTAAAATTGTCAAGTGTAAATGGCCCTTGGTAATGCCATCAACCATAATAATGAAGCATCCACTACAATTGCACAGACAACAGACAGTATCAAACATCAAGGTCTAACAAATGTTGTGTGTGTACATTTCTCTCCCTCGGGATTGGAGAAAGGGCCAGGCACAAATCTGAACCCTAAATCACAACTATGTAACCTATGGTGGTGTTTGCTTTTTTAGGCTCTCCTGAGGTCCTGCACTTCAGTGTTTCATCATTGCACACACTGAATGGTTTCAGATGTGTTGCCTCATTTTGTGCCCAGAAAATTAGTTCAGGGTTCAGTCGTAATTTAACATGTACAAACTGAACAACTTGGACTGAACTGCATGTACTCCTTGCTGCAATAATACAATGGGGGCATTGGTCCTTCATCTTTCCCCATGCATCTGGGTAATAAATAGTTGTGTATGGAGTTAACAATCACTTTGATGATGGAACTGCTAATTCCTTTCTTCCTTCCTCAGGGCCCAGAAAGAGAGATTCCTACAGAAAACATTTGAGATATTTAGATGTTATGTGTGGAGATATAAGTAGGGGGGAGAACTGAGATATCAGTTCTCATCATGACCACCCTGAGTTTAAGTGGACTGCGAGTTTCAGCCCTGAATCTGTGTGGAAAAATTGTTATTCTTGATCAAGGGGTTCTCTCCCTTCCAGAACAGAGCAGAACAGCAGTCTGTCTCAGGAGCAAAGAACAACTTTATTGATAGGATTCCAACATTTATAAGCTTGCAAGGTGACGTTACAGGTGAACAAAAGTTCACGTGTATATTGCCGAGATTCTCACGACTTCATTCGGTACATGTGTCTACTTGGTGTTAGTTTTTAACAAACAACAATTGAGTATTCATTTTACTTTCCCTTAGTGAGCTGATGTTGCCCAAATGTAACAGTAAATTATACAATGAGTGGAGGAATCCATAGCCCTTATCTGTAGCATTCCAGGCTGGCCAAGGTCAATTCCCACTCTCACTATCCTCACTCCTTCCATCAATATGAGTGAACTCTAGTTTGCTAATGTTCATTGACTTTGGGCCTTTAAATGTGAAAATGTCTTCATCATAGAAAATCAATCGTTGAGAGCATCTAGTCTGACCCCAGTTAAGAGAAAATTGGGAATCTTGGTTTGAACTCTTAGATTAAAAAAAAAAAAAAGTATGTGGTTTCAGGCTCCAGCTTACAGAGGCATGGACTTATTTGCATTCTTTAAGTGTCCAAATAATGCCTAGCTCGTGTCCAGCTAAGCCAAAAAGCAAGGTGAGTCAAGTCTCTGAGGTAAAAAAAAACCCTGTACTTTATCTGCCTAGATGAAGCTGCTGAATGCATATCAAAAGCATAAAAGAAGCAGCCCAGATCAAAGAAAGTAGTTCTCTTTTATATTCTGGTTACCTCATTACATCATCCTTTGTCCACTAATACAAATTCTGCCATTCTACTGTTGTTGTTGTTGTTGTTATTTATTAATATAGCACCATAAATTTACATGCACTTTACAGAGATGAATTAGTTAATTAAAGATTTCCCAGCCCTCAGGCTTACAATCTAAAAAGACACAAAAGGAGAAGGGAATGGCGGTGGGGAAGGGGATCAGGTCCAGTGGTTCTTCACTCCCTCTGAGGCCTGGAGCATGGAAGATGGACTGGAGGGAGGGCCCTTCCTCTTTCTCTAGGCTAGGCCTGATGGATTGGTTGCTAAAAGTGTGATTATCTCATGAAAACCATTCTACTAGTTATTTAAGTGCATGATCACATACTGACCCCCACCTCCTGCAAATCCTAGACATTACACACACACACACAGAGCTGCAAGGTTGGGTCAACTATGCCTGCATTTTACCTTCTCTGCTCTGGGGCTCTACCCATCATCATGTTACATGCTTTATAAACAAAATAGATCATAATAACATGGTGGCTTTTACAGACGTTTGCAGTGTCCATTCTCTTCTCGCTGTCATCATCCTCAACAAAAGTAGGAGGAATTTAACACAGGAATACACCATCTCTTTCTAACAGTTGTTTACTGTGGAAAATCTTCTATCAAGTGTTGAAAAATATAATTAAAAGTGCCTTGAGAATACTGGTTCAACCAAACGCCGCAAGATGCAGGGACTAGGATATTTATTTATTTATTTATTTGGAGTATTTATACCCCGCTCTTCAGCCACAAAGGCTCTCAGAGCAGCTTATGAATGGTTAACTAGACAGGTTCCCTGCTCTAAGACTTACAATCTAAAAAGACATGACACAAAAAGAGAAGGGAATGGTAGTGAGGAAGGGGATCGGGTCCTTCTCTCCCTCTGAGGTCTGGACCATGGCAGATGGACGAGGGAAGGCACTCCTTAATCTAAGCTAGGCCTGATGGAGCTGGCCTGCCTCTCTCCCTCCGGGGCCAGAGACGTAATGCAGGTAACAGATCCTTGTCCCTGTCCAGCAAAAGGAAAAGGAAAGAAAAAAAA